CGATTTCCCCCCGCCATTTTTTTTAACTAAGCGATGTGCACTTGGGCGAAGCTTTGCCCTGAGCGTTTTGTTTTTTTAAAAAGCCCTTAGTGTAGCGTTTTGGAGGAGTCCGGGACTTCAGGGAGGCCAGTTTGGTCTTTAAACTTTAAAGGTAAGTCCTTACCTTTAAAGTTTAAATGCAGTATGGGGTGTTTTGAGCATGCGCAAAGATCGCCATTCTGTGAATGGCTGCCTATGCGCATGCTCAAACTGAGCGGGCATGTGAGCGGGCATACAGCGATGGGATCCGCAAAATGGAGGTGAGTGTGATCGCGTTTCAGCCGGCATAAACTGCACCGGTTCCAACCGGTACAGTTTATGCCGGCTGAAACGCCGCGTCTGAACGCACCCATGAAGTCACAAGAAACGTGTATTCCCAAGGTCACTGACCTTTTTGGAGGCTGCTGACACTTTTGGGATTCTGAGAGGGGTGGTGGAGAGTGCCAGTCCTAAAATGGCTACCACGGGAGGTGGAGCCAGACCTCATAATGGCTGCTAAGGAGGTGGGGCTGTGGTGTCATGGTTAAGAGTCTCCCACTGGGGCTGCAGAAACTCTGATTAGTCACAAAGTTCATTGGCCCACCTTGAGTTAGCCTCTTGGTCTAATCTACCTCACGGATTCGTTGTGAGGCCAAAACGGAGTGGAGAATGATGTCGATGGCTCTGAGCTTTTGGGGAGAAAAAAGAGAAGGGGAAAAAATAGATATAAATAGAGAAACTTGAATATCTACTGATGAGAGAACAAAATTGCATGTTCTGATTAACGCGACTGATTTTGTTTTATCTTTGTGTCGAGATGTGTTTTTCCCCCATGTAAAGCATTCAAGAATTAAACGTTTTTGCAAAATGAGTTTGCGGAGTGGAAAAGGAGCCAAGCTGTTAGAGTTGCCAGCTCCGGGTTGGGAAATTTCTGGAGATTTGGGGATGGCGCCTGAGGAGGGCAAGGTGTAATTACGTAGAGTCCACCCTCCAAACCAGCCATTTTCTCCAGGGGATCTGATCTCTGTAGTCTGGAAACCAGTCGTGATTCCAGGGGAACACCAGGCTCCATCTGGAGGCTGACGACCCTACACGCTCTGTGGAGAAATCAGATACTCGGTGTGAGATACAAGTAGAGCATTTCGACATCAATCAGGAAAGTTCCCTCTCACCCACCCACCTTTCACTGGTAAATACCACTTTAGAATCATAGAGCTGGAAGGGACCTCCAGGGTCACCTAAGCCAATCCCCTGCACAATGCAGGAAATTCACAGATACCTCCCCCTCCACACCCACAGTGAGTGCTGTTCCATGCCCAGAAGATGACAAAAAAACCTCCAGGATTGCCTCCTGACACCAAAGTGGCAAAGTGGCGATCAGCATTTCCCTGGGCGTGTAAAAAAGGGGCACAAAAATTAAGCACTGAGGCAACCCTTCCTGCCCTCCCTTCTCATGATCTGCCTCAGTTTATCTCTTGTTTTGTGTTTAAAACTCCAGGTGGTACTGGAATGCTATGTGAAAAAGGACTTGATTTACACTAAAGCAAACCCTACGTTCCATCATTGGAGAGTTGACAACCGCAAGTTTGGGCTGACGTTCCTAAGCCCTGCTGATGCGCGGGCGTTTGACAGGGGCGTCAGGAAAGCCATTGAAGATCTCAACGAAGGTAGTGTAACATGCATTTCAGTCCTTCTTGTTGCAGCAGAATGTGGGTCTTTGGTCGCAACTTGAAGGCCCAAAAGCATTTCAACACATGTCTGCTGGTCCTTAAATCAAAATATAAAACTGCCATTTGTTTAGGGGGTAGGTAGGGGTAACGTGATTGAAATTTGGCTTTCAGTCCACTGTAGAATCCAACAGGAATGTGCACCCCCAAAAAAATCGGTATTTTTCGGGTTCGCCTGTGTTTCCCAATATTCTCGAATCCCAGTATCAGTATGATGTTGGGATTCGGGAAATAATCAGGATTGCTGAAGTTTTGAGCTTGGCATTTACAGGGTTGGTCTCTTCAAATGCGTTTTGAAAGCTGCAGCACAAGTGATCCCGGAAGGGTGAACCTTCCAGGTTCACTTGTGCTGCAGCTTGCAAAACACATTTGAAGGGACCATCCCTCCAAGTTGTGTGCAGATTGCCTTGGGGGGGGTGTTCCCTAGGGGCCCTGTGCAAATGGGGAGGGGGTGTATTGAACAGCCCCCCTGCAAGCTAAAGGCATCAAACTGGCAGTGGACCTCCCCGGGATGCCCCTCTATCTGCCCTCCAAATTGTGTGAAGATTGGCTGCGGGGGGATCCAAGGATCCAATTTGCAAAAGGGAACGTAGTGTGTTCAATGGTCCCCCTGCAAACTAGAGGCATCCAACTGGCAGCGGACATGGCAGTGGCTTGCAAAACTCATTTAAACCACGGGCCGGGAGAAGCTGTGATTCGGTATTGCTGTGCCAAGCCGAATAAAAGCTGAATAATATCAGCTTTTATCAGCATTCTCTATATCAGTAGCCGATTACAGATTAGAAAATCCGATTCAGTTTAGGAAATACTGGAAAAATACCAGTTAGGTATTTTCAGGTATTTATTTGGATCCACAAATACCGAATGCACACCCCCTAGAATCCAAGAACTTCTATGTCAGACGCTTGCAACTTACTATAGTTCTCTTTGGGTCGAATGTCATGGTTTAGGGTAGGGGCTGTGGCTCAGTGGCAGAACATCTGCTTTACATGCAGAAGGTCCCAGATTCAATCCCCAATATTTCCATTTGAAAAGATCAGGCAGTAGGTGATGTGAAGGAGAGCCGGTGCCAGTCTGAGTAGATTACAATATTGACCTTGACGGACCACACAGCTTCATGTGTTCATCCATTCTACGACTGGTGGCATTTTTTTTAAGTACCCATAGGTACACTTTTATTGATTTTTCTTTTTATAATCTACAACAAACAAATCTACACACTACAAACAGACACTCTACTACTTTTGACAATGTTAATTGGATGTTTATGATAGAGACATTGCGGATGTTGGAAGCAGGAGAAAGCTCTATTACTATGATTCAGGCAATTTACAAAGAGCAAAAAGCAAGAGTTGCGGAATCGGGCCCCGGGGGGAACTCCGCCCCCCCCCGAAGCGCAGCGTGGCTGTGTCACCAGAGGTGACGCAACCACGTCGATCACGTTGGGGGCATGGCCCCGATCGTCAGAGGGAAAACTCTATGGTTTTCCCTCCGCCGATCGTGCCCACGCCCTCAACGTGATCGACGTCGCGCGTCGCTTCCGGTGACGTGCTGGCGGCGCACACACGCACAACGAGGTGCGGCTCCCAGAGCCTGGCGAGGCTCCCCCGCCGGTAACGAAAATACACTTGGTTTGCAGTGGTGCAACTGCATTTGACCAGACAATATACAAAGAACCATTACCAGTAGCTCTTTCTAGCATCTGTGTACATCTTTTCCCACCCAACAAAAATGCCACCAGTATTTGTTTTTTAATGAAATCTTTGTATATTGTCCGGTCAAATGCAGTTGCACCACTGCAAACCAAGAAGTTTTCATATCTCTTAGGACTTCCAACCTCATCTGCTGCTTTGTGTAGGAATAAATTAGTTGGGATTGTTCAGACAAGGGCTATGGGTCAGGGGTAAAGCATCTGCTTGGCATACAGGAAGTCCCAGGTTCAATCCCTGGCATCTCCAGTTAAAAGGATCTGGCAGTAGGTGATGTGAAAGACCTCTGCCTGAGACCTTGGAGAGCTGCTGCCAGTTTGAGTAGACAATACTGACTTTGATGGACCAAGGGTGTCATTCAGTATAAGAAAGCTTCATATGTCCATGTGGGATTCTGTACTTCCAAATAGAAGTTATATTTTTTTAAAAAAAACTAGCTTGCTTCATATTTCTGTATTTTAAAAGAGCCAGTTTGGTTTAGTGGTTAAGTGCACGGACTCTAATCTGGGAGAACCAGGTTTGATCCCCCACTTCTCCACTCGCAGCTGCTGGATGACCTTGGGTAAGCCATA